ACATGCTTTTGAGGGACACGGTTCAGTCTATAACAGAGCCCCATCACATGGTCCATGAAGTGGCCTGGGGCTCGGGTAGACTCCAGAGAAGGCAACCACAGCTGAGAGGGCCCTTCCGCACTTGAAATGTGCAGTGAAAGCTCTGACGTGCTTCTTCCCCTCCCAAACGCGTTACACCACTGCATTGGGATAGGCAAGAAAAGGTTCTGACAGGGACTCAGGGAGACTTAAGAGCAAGCATTAGAGGCAGGGACCGATGTCAGCGCAAAAGGCCTTCAAGGGTGAGTCAAGGAGGATATCAGGCCTATCCAGACGAGTGGGAGCCAGTATCCTGACCTCCACCTACAAACCGCCATTTGTCATAATCTAACTTTGTCATCTGGGCGGATTTATCTACAAGGGAAATCAGAGTGACATGATGCACCTATACCCTGGTCCTGAAGGGAAAAGTGTCGCTTTCTGGAATCCTGATGACTCTCAGCTTCACCACAAGTGCACAGGGAGTGGCCTCAGTCAACTCAGCACTTTTCCACTCACCCTAACCCAGCCAGGGAATTCTCAGAAGTCCTCAGGGGACTTTAGACTTCCACAGTGTCTCAACTGAAACCAAACCAACAGCTGTCGAGTCAATTCTGACTCATGGCAACCCCATGTGTGTCAGAGTAGAACTGTGCTCCATAGAGCTTTCAGTGGCTATAATCTTATGAAAATAGATCGCCAGGCCTTTCTTCCACCATGCCTTTGGATGGACTCAAACCTCCACTCTTTCAGTTAGCAGCCAAGCGCATTAACCATTTGTACCACCCAGGGACTCTGTGCCTAGATTAGAGGTTCTCTGTTATGGATTTCAAATCCACCACCAGCCACTCTTTGGAAACCCTATGAGGCAGTTTTACTTTGTTATGGGTGCAAGAACTAAGTCTCAGGAAGTCTGAATAACGTGTCCAGGGGCATACAGATACCCAGATCCGTGTAACTTCCAAGCCCATCAACAGAGGAAAATGGATCTACAGTTTACAATCTATAAGAAGATAGAATGTGATGCCACATGGCTCAAAGACCAAGGTGTGCCCCCCCACCACCCCCACCTCAGCCCTGCCAAGACCATCTACACAATTTAATCTCTTGCTCTTTTCTTTTGCTCCCTGGGAAAACTAAATCTCAACTGTCTGCAGTTAGCAGAAGCCTAGAGTAACTGGATTCGCTGCTGGAACAAAAGATACATGTGACGTTAACAGTTCATTGAGCTGTGAGATGAACAAGACGGGTGTTGAAAAGGAAACCTGAATTGAGAGTACATTTCCAGTGTTAATAAAGCTTTCCTTTTGTTGTATGTTTCCAAACACTGACTCCAGGATGGACACCATCCGTTTCCTTCTAAAATTAGACAGGCCTGCAGATTTAAGGCGTTGGAGCATCATTCAGCCCTATTAATGGACAGCACAAGGTGCTGCATCAGGAACTTGCCCTCATCTTTAGCTCTGGTTGCAATTATTTCGCTGGCTTGGCAAAGCATGTGCCTGCTGCTCACTCAAAGAATGTGCACATGGATAACAGCCCATCAGGAGAAACCTCCAGATTCCAAAAATCAGGCTTGTGGATGTACGTGCAAGAAGGCTTACTATGCCAATGCAATTAGCCGTGCAAAGTCAGAAGCAACCTATGTGCTCAGCAGTTGGTGATTGGTTAATTAAATTATAGGAGAGCCACACACGATGAAGTTCTGTGGGTGTTGTTGTTAAGTGCTGTGGAGTCAGTTTCTTATTCACAGTGATCCATGTGAAAGAGTAGAACTGCCCCATAGGGTTTTCTAGGCTGTAATCTTTACAGAAGCAGATCGCCAGGTCTTTCTTCCACAGAGCTACTGGGTGGGTTCAAACCGTCAACCTTCTGGTTAGCAGCTGAGAGCTTAACTGTTGAGCCACCAGATGGTGTTCTCCATGGTCCTTAAAAAGAACATTGTAAATTTACTGTTAAGTAAAAAAATAAAAGCAAAGTGCATCATAGTAGGTATAACATGATCTCATTGTATGCTAAGTGTAATAAGAAAGAAAATGAAAGAAGTGTATTCTAGCTTCTAAAAAGGATATACCAAAAAAAAACCAGCTGCCATGGAGTTGATTCCAATTCATTGGAGACCACATATATGTCAGAGTAGAACTGTGCTCCATCGGGTTTTCAATGTCTGGTTTTTCAGAAGTAGATCACCAGGACTTTCTCCTGAGCTACCTCTGGATGAACCTGAACCTCCAACATTTTGGTTAGCAGCCCAATATGTTAACCACTTGCAGTACACAGGGACTCCCTAAGAAGGATGTACCCTGCTAAACTGAAAACCTTGTTCGTCTTGATAGTTTTAGATAAGTAAGGACAGACTTTGGCTGCTGGTGCCCAGAGGGCTAAAAGGCTCTGATACTAGAGAAGTAAGCTGAGCTCTGAGGGGCATTCCAGGAGGGGAGGGATGGAGAAGTGGAGAGATGGGATGATGGAAGAGGAGAGGGCCAAGCAAGATGGAGCAAGGCTGGGAGGGCTACAGGGGATAAAGAAGCCAATGGATGGAAGAAAGTATGAAGAACATTTTAAGGATATGGGTGTCATGAATCCAATTTAAAATCGTTAGCATGTCTGTGATATAAACTCCTCCTCCAATTCCCTCTCAAATCTTCACAAATGTCTCTGGGATCCAAGTGCTCTGTGTGAGGGAAAGTTTGGGGAAGTTGAAGAGTTTCCTGTCTGGGCCATCATGGTGCAGAATCAATGAAGGGCAGAGCCAAGGCCTGGGTGACCATGGGATTGTAATTCCCCACCCACGCCAACCCAGCCAGGGAATTCTCAGAAGTCCTCCAGGGACTTTTCCACCGTGCCTAAATTGAAACCAAACCAGCTGCCGTTGAGCCAAGTCCAACTCATAGCAACCCCACGTGTGTCAGAGTAGAACTGTGCTCCATAGAGTTTTCAATGGCTGTAATCTTACAATAGTAGATTGCCAGGCCTTTCTTCTGCTATGCCCCTGGATAAACTCGAACCTCCAATTTTTCAGTTAGCAGCCAAGAACATTAACCATTTGTACTACCCAGGGACTCTGTGCCCAAATTAGAGGTTCTCTAAGTGCAAGAACTAAGTCTCAGGAAGTCTGAATAACGTGCCCAGGGTCATACAGATACCCAGGTCAGTATAATTCCAAAGCCCATGCTCTTACCACATTAGCCAATCTGGCTGCCAGTCTAGCTGCTCCAATGGCCCTACTAAATGTTACATAGTAACAATTCCATGACTTTTGGCCATCTCCTGGGTCAGTCAAACAGTGTCCAAAGTAAACAAACGACTGTTTCTCTCCATTTACAAAGCCACACAGGCCTCCTTTCCCAAGCTCCCACTGCTTCATCCAAACAGCAAATGACCAAGGACCTGAAATCTCTTTTTCCCCTTCTCTCCTAACTATATATCTGATTTTTTTAGAGAGAGGTTATCTTGAACACTCCTCAGAGGCTTTAACCACCCAAAGCCAAGCTATCCTTTGGGGTCCTCTCCAATCTTGAGATTAATTGGGAATCCATTCATTGGCCAAGACAGGAGGAGAGACAATAAAGGGTGTGAGGAGAACAGAGAGGTCTTCTCTTATTCTAATGGCCGGGTGATGCTCTAGGATGGTGTCTAGTTCAACTCCTCTGCTTAACATTAGGGGAAACAAAGTTCCTGGTTGAGAGACCAGGAGAGGCCTCTTGGGATTCTAAGGTTTCTTAGAGGGGAATCTTTGATCATATGAAGATGGGAGTGAGGCCATTCCAGGAAGAGGGACAGAGTTGGCAGAGATCTGGATGGAGCACCAGGCCTGCCTAGGAACAGTCACTTGAAGGCTGAAAGAAGAGCAAGAGATAGTACAGATATTACTAGTGTCAAACGCCATTCTAAGGGGTCTAATCTTCATTCTAAAGGTAAGAGGGTGCTATCGAGGGTTCTGAGCAGGGGAGTGACATGATTAGCGCTATACTTTGGGAATTTTAGCTCGATTGCACAGGCAGGATGGATTGCAGGAGAAGTGAGCCCAGGGACTGGGGACCCATTGGAAGGATGTGGCAAAGTCCAGGAAAGAGAAGAATGCAGCCTGAGCAGGGGCAGAGAATATGGGGATGGTCTGGAGTGGCTGGATCTGAGAGAAATTTAGGAGACAGAAGCCACGAGACTTGTCATATTCCAATCATAAGTGGAGAATGGAGGAGAGGGAGGAGTCACTGTTGATCCCCATGTCTGGTTTGGGGGTGGGGGAAGATGGTGCTGAGAACTGAGATGGGGCACCAGTCGGAGGAACAGGTTCGGGAAGAAGGAAGAGGTTGAGTATAGTCCGGGTTGTATGCAGGTTGGGTGCCAATGGAATGTGCCAGTGGAGGAGACCAGCAGGCGACTGGAAGTGAGAGATGCCTGGGAGGCCTGGGGCTCCCTCTGATGTCACATTGGCATTGACTCTCAGGGGCCAGGCACTGGAATTGTCTTATAGGTGATTCCCTTAGTTTCTTTCCTGTCCAGACGGGGTATCCCGCCGCCCGGCCCAGAAGGCTGAGGGCTGACTCGTTTGCTCCCTCTCTCCTGCTATGCATTCCCCAGATGCAGCTTGGTACACTTCTGAGGAGAAAAAAAGAAATTAGTAGGACCCCTATGTTCCTTTTTGTTCCTCATCAGGCATTTTATAAATATTCCATCTCATTTAAAGTTCAGACCTCTCTTAAGAAGATATGCTCCGCTTCTTTTGTCTGCCTCCTTCCTTCATTTGTATTTTGGCCTTTATTTGGCTCTCTCTGCTTTTCTTCTCTCTGTTTTGGTCTCTCTTTCCCCTTTTTTCTCCCTCTACATAGATACACATATATATACACACACACATCTATTTATGGCTTTCTCTGCCTTTCTCAGTCTCAGAGTCCCATTGGCTGATTCATACTCTCTCTGTGTCACTGTTTCTCTGAACTTGGCTGTGTGGGGGTCTCTAAATACGTCTGTGTGTATGTCTGTGTGTGGGTCTATGTGTCTGTCTGTGTATGTCTCCAACTGTGTGTCTGAGCAAGTCCATGTGTGTGTGACTGTGTGTCCATGTGGGTCTGTGTGTGCACGCCCCATATGTATCTGTCTGTGGGTCTGCCTGCGTGTGCACCCCCTCCCTTCTCAAGCCTCTGCCCATCTGTCTCCAACTACACCGATCCTGGGAGTAAACAGCCAGCTCACACAGGAGGACCCTCTCCAGCTGTTTCCCCGAAATGGAGCTGGAGTTGAATCCTCCCCACGCCAGAGATTGTTTCCTGTGTAAGTAAAGGAGAGCGTAGAGTTAGAAGCTTGAGGGGCTCTGAGACGGCTGGGTAAACAGAGGGGAAGGGAACTGAGTTACGTGAATTCACTGCACTGCTCAGAACCCTCTGGAGGCTCCCAGCACACACAGAACAAGACAATGACCTCCCTGAGCAGCCTGCCTCCTCTCTGACCTCACTCTTCCCCTCTTGCCCTTGCTCACTGCTCTCTGGCTGGCTGATCTCCTTGCTGCTCCTGATCCCCTGTGAGCCTGCTAACCGCTGCCTGGAGTGCCCTTCCCCAAACATCCATGTGACTTCTTCCCTCACTTCATTCAGGTCTCTGCTCAGATGTCACCCCTCCCAGAAGCCCTCCCTGATGCACCTATATATTAATGAAACACCATCCACTCCTGTCATACTCCAGTCCTCTTTTTCCTGCTTTATTTTTCTTCATAGCTCTAATCACCACCCGGAAGGCTACATGTTTGCTTGTTCATGTTTTTGCTTGTTAACATTCTTATTGACCCCAGATCAGGCCTTTGTCCATTTTGTTCACTGTCGAATCTTCTGTGACTTTAGTATACCTGGCACATAATAGATGCTCAAGAAATATTGTTGAATGATTGAATGAAGTCTCCACAACCTCCCACCCCGCCCACCATGTCTGGCAATAACAGTACGTTAGTAGCAACACTGAGCACTCACCACCTGTCCAGCAGTAACCTGTGAACCCATTTATTTCTCCCAACAACCCTATGGGCAGATGGTATTACATCACCCATTTTACAGAAGAGGAAACTGAGGTTCTGCAATAAGGCCAAGGGTAAGTAAGAGCAGAGTTGGGATCCAAGCCCAGCAGCCTGGCTCCAGAGGGCTCCCTGCCCCACATCTTACACCTTCTACAAAACGCTTCAACATACAGGCTCTCCTTTGATCCTTACAACAATCTGTGAAGTAGACACTCTTCTCCTCCATCATCCAGAGGAGGAAACTGAGGCTGAGAGACTTGCCCAAGCCTGGATTGTCATCCCCCCTCTGTAATTCTCTCGCTGGGGGTCTTAGGCAAGTTCCTTCCCCTTGTTGGCCTCAGTTTCCTCATCTGAAAAAATAAATTGGTCAGACAAGAAGGGTCTTTTCTAAGGTCTAAAATTGTACTCCTCTAGTTTCCCCAACAAAACTGTCATCTCCATAAAGGCACAGACACTCTTCTTTTCTCCCGTCCCCCAAAGGACTTAGCCACTGGTAGGTGCTACAGAAATTTTTGTTCAAACTAGAGGTCACCATGGAAGGGTCATGCAGCAGATGGGGCTAGATCACCTTCACCACCATCCCCTCCCTGCCCACTCACCACCACCCATTCCAAGATCCCTTCCTATTCTAATATTCTGGGATTCTAAAAACAAGTTGTATCAGCTTCCTAGAGCTGCCGTAACAAAAAACCACAAACCAGGTGGCTTATAAGAACAGAAAGTTATTGTCTTACAGCTCTGGAGGCTAGTAGTCCAAATTCAGGGTGTCAGCAAGGTTATGTTCTTTCTGAAGACTTTAGGAGAAGACCCTTTCTTGTTTCTCTCAGCTTCTTGCAGTCCCAGGCATTGTGAAGGACACAGCTGCCTTGTGGTAGGAAAAGAAATCCATTTCTAACCAGTACCAGTTGCCATAGAATCTGT